GGAGCACTCTAACACTTCTGCGTTAGCAGCGAAATCATGCATCAGTAGACAGCTTTTGTGTGTCCATGATGAATATTATGTCTTGTTACTATCTCACACTGATGAAAAACGATTCTCCATTGACTGGCAAACACTAATGATCATAATAAAGCACTTTATTAAGTGGCATTCTTTAATGAAGAAAATAAAATAGAATCCACATGTTGCCAAAACTTCACCTATTTTAAAGAAAAGGTTTGGCAGCCATATTTGTACTTTTGAACAGCACTGTTTCATGGGAATTCGAATGGTGTTCTTAAGGAAAACCTGGCTCACCCTTCATTTGACAACATTCTTGCAAAGATACGGAAAATAAACCTGAAAAACCTGATACATTATGAATTTCCCCGACAATATCTGCTTCCTAAGGGTTTTATATATGTAATCTTTGAATTTTTAAAGTCCATGCTCATAGCCTTACACCAAAACATAAAATTACAAGTCATATGTGATTTATTAGGTGTTTCTGACTTATTCCTATTAAAATTAAATAATAAACAAGTAAATAAATGCCAGTTTTCCAGTGTTGTATAATTAGATCAACTAAGTCTCCCATTCAGCTGAGTTTTGTATGTTGGAAAACTTCCCTATAAGCAGGTTGTCCTTGTTTCTTTATATTATTGGTTGAAACATTGGGATTTCAACCAAAATTAAATCTTAGTAACAAACAATAACATTATTTCCAGTGATATAACAGTGGTACCTTGGGGGGCTATGGCTTGTTTTGTTTTCCTACTTCACAGAGCATAATTTTCTAGTAAAAATCTAAAGATACACTAATGGCCAGAATAGCTTTTGTAGCTAAAACTTTTTCTAAGGGAAGATATTAGAAACGAATGGATAGTAATCATTATGTTTATACTTCTAAAACTAAAAAAATACATGTATTTATGATAAATTGACTCTCTAATTGGCCATTAAATAAGATACCAGTTTTGCAAAAGGACCATAGAGAGCAAAGTAGCAGAACACAGTATGAGAGAAACAATTATGCTTTAAAGATTTAATAGGCCAGATTGCCCTTCTCACTAATTTTGAATATACAGTGACGCCATCCAGGCAATCTGTTCTCAGCTTCTCTGTTTAAGAAGGAGTAACAAAAATATTCTATGTTCCATACAATATAGGCTTATGTTGAGAAGGAAAAGATATACTGTTATCCAGTATCATACAGAAATAAGTTATTCCTAAAAATATCTGATTGGGGTGCTCACTAAAACTTGTTTACAAATATTCTATCCAATTCTCCTTTCTCCCAAGCACACAGGGCATCCACTTTGCCATCCCTTTTGCCTATATGACTTGTGTTGGGAAATAAAATGCGAGCAGATTTAATGCTTTAAAAGTTAGTGAGTGATCCACTAGTGTCTCTTTCTTTCTCTATTACATCAGTCAAGATGGTCTTCAATAGCATGCAAAGTCCTTTTTGTTTTTGTTATTGTTGTTTTAATATGTTTTTTATTGCTGGTAATATTACAGATACCTCCCATATACATGGATAGAAATTGTGGGGAGGCAGATTTTTTAAATTGATTTCAGAGAAAGGTAGAGGGAGAGAGAGATAGAAACATCAATGATGAGACAGAATCATCCATTGGCTGCCTCCTGCATGTCCCACACTGGGGATCCAGCCTGCAACCCGGGCATGTGCCCTGACCTGGAATCGAACCATGACCTCTTGGTTCATAGGTTGACGCTCAACCACTGAGCCACAAAGACTGGGCAAGACTCCCGTGTTTAAAACCTATAATTCCAACCACCAATGTTAGCACTCTAGTTTTTGTTGTTGTTGTTGTTGTTATCCTCTTATTTTAATAACAGTAAAATTGAACTAAGAGGTAAATTAATCAAACAAACATTGCTACACAGTCTAAAATAATGACATGCCAGACTTAACTGCTGAAGCAGAAGGGGGACTACTTTGTAAAGTGCATGGTTTCTAACCACTGTGCTTTACATCTGAAACTAATACAAAATAATATTGAACAATCTACTTGTCTATATATATAAAAGCCTATGGAACGACCAAACGACCAAATGACCCAATGACTGTTCGACCAATCGCTATGATGTGCACTGACCATCAGGGGGCAGACGCTCAACGTAGGAGCTGCCCCTGGTGGTCAGTGCGCTCCCACAGCCAACCTCCTGCGGCTGGCCAACCTCCTGCAGTCCCTCCCCCAGGCTGGCCAGCCCTGATCGGGTCCAATTGGGACTGGGCAAGATGGCCCGATTGGTCCCGATCACCGGCCAGGCCAAGGGACCCCCCCCATGCATGAATTCGTGCACCGGGCCTCTAGTACTATATAATAGTTACAGTTCATCATGTCTCTTAAACTCATACTCAGGACACAAATCATTGTTTACTTCAGCCTCCACAGATTTAAAAGCAGTCAATCTCTGAGTGTTAGTCAGCTCCAAATGTTATTCTTACTAAACCTGATATTTCAAGCCACAACTTAACATCCAGAAAACATAGTTTAGATTAGGTCAGTTCTAAATCACATATATGGATCCTATTTCTATGGTATTCTATGGTATTTCAAAGGCTCCTATAAATTACCAAATTAAACAATATCTCCTTGGTCTGACCTAACCAGGTCATCACAAACATCTGCTTATTATAAACTCCAGTCTTCTCAAAATAATGATCAGCAACATCAGTTAAATACCCACCATGTGTCAGAAAATGGTCTAAATAGAAAGAAGCCAAAATGCACAGTAATCAAATATGATTAGAGTTAGGGGAGTGGGGATAGGAAATGGCAAATAAATTGAGAACAAATAAACTTGGTACTATGGTGTGGAGAAAATCAAATGGCTGGCTGAGACATTTGGCCCTTTTCCTCTAAGCAATGCAAAGTCATCAAAATATTTGAATGATTGGCTCTCTTGATTGCATACAAATTTTAGGAAGTACTCTGATGGCAGTGTGGTTGAAGAGCAAGAGAAGAGAGAATGTAGAAATAATTAGGAGCTTAAGAAAAATCAAGGAGCAGATTTAGTGGTTCTAAAACTAAGGCAATAAATATAAAAGCAAAGAGAAATTTGGGATTAAATGTAAATATGTGATCAATTGGATTTTGATAAAGGTTGGTTAAGGGTTGGAGAGAGTAGAGCACAGCTAAAATATGAATTCTATAAAGAGCCTATTAGATTTCTAACACAGAATCCTATACCATCAACCAAAACAGGAAATGATAGAAGGTGCAGGTTAGAGATAAAGACAGCTTATTCAAGTTCTGGTTATCTTGAGTTTTTTTAAGATTATAAATCATATTGATATATGTAATTATATATAATATAATTATATCATTATAATATATTATATATGTGATAAAATATAATATATAAATATGTTATATAAGAAAATATTATCTATAATAATAATATAAGCATAATATGCTAATTAGACCAGATGTTCTTCTGAACATCATTCCAGATGAAGCCAGGGCTTCGAGGGAAGCTGGGGTCCCGGGTGACAGAGGGAAGTCAGTGCCAGCAGCCAGGGGAAGGAAGGCCTACTCTTGCACAAATTTCATGCATCAGGCCTCTAATTGTAAAAGTCCCAATAGAATATAACCTCCTTAATAATACTAAAACGATGGCAAGCAATGAAATAATACTGTAGACCATCCTAACTTTGGAGCATTCCTCCAAATTCCCAAATAAATATAAAAGTATTGAACTATATATAGTATTGAATAAAAGAATAAGCTTGCAGCTATTCAAGAATCTATAATAATAAAAGAGTAATATGCTAGTTAGACCGGACAGCCGAATGACCTTCTGGATGTCCTTCTGGATGACCTTATGGATGAAGCCGGGGCTGCGAAGGCCAAGGCAGCTGCCTTGGCTGTGAGGGCTGAGGCAAGCCACCACAGCTGCAAGGGCTGAGCCCCTTGCACGAATTTCGTGCATCGGGCCTCTACTAACATAATATTAGCAAGTCAACTGCTCAGAGAAGTGGTGGGCAAAGATTCAAACTCAGGCTAGATAGAGGGTCATTTGGAGGCAAATGGGGTGAACCTAAATCTTACATCATCATCACTCTCATTTTTTGAATTGCTACAGTAGGCTGTGTGTTTATATACTGAAAACATTTGCCAATTTACACAAAGGGTTAACTGGTTATGTTTGGTGATGTGAATATGGCCATTTTGTTTTTATATGTATCTAAGCTGTCCATTGTGAACGTCGTATCATGTGAAATGAGAAAATATTACAAATATTACAAAAGCAATTTCAAAGCACCTTGTCAGGAGGTCAGATAAACTATCTGATTTTAGACATCTTCCTCACATCCAACACTGTTTAAGGACTGAGAGCCCATCTGATTGTCACCACAATTGTCACAAACCTCAGCAACAAGTTTCAAGGGAGACAGTTCTCAGTTACTTCAACTGGTTCTACAGGATGCATAATGACTTCATATCTCCCATCTCAAAACTTGAAAAATAAACTCTTAATGCAGATCATCCCAAAGTAAGTTATCTAGGTGTCATAATGTATGAGGTACAGAGTATAATGTTATTTTAAAGAATAGATAATTATGTATCTACTGAAGCTCATAAATAATATTTTTATAATTTTACTATGAAGAAATAAATAACACAGTTATCCGGAAAGATAATTAAAATGTGTTTTTCTATATACAATCCTACCTACATATAGTTTACAAAATGTGTTTGCTAGTAGCAGGGAAATTAAATCCAGCACTTTAATGTATTTTGAATTTTAGAAAAGATTAATAAATAGTCCAAAAATTTACATGCCATATATTTACATTCCAGCATGATAATCTAAAAATAAAAGGAAATTCTAGAGGTTTTGCTTTTTATTAAAAAAAACAGTTAAAATATGAGTGAAGAACAATAATTCATGTTTCTCATTTCTATACTCAGGAACTCGTATTAATTAGTGATGAACAAATATGGTGATATAATAAGAGTTCTACTTACCATTTGGATAAAATTCTTGGAATTTCACGTGGACAATTATCCCAGTAAAATTCTTGAATATCTGAAAAATGAGAGTGATTGAGGAAGATCAATAAGACATGCTTTATACATCATTTTATAATACATTAATTCCATATGATCTTTGACTCACCTGTTCTAGATTTATACAAGAATGCATTCAGACTCATGATTTTCATTTAGTATGAATACTGTCTAAACTCAGGAAGTGGGTGTGTCCTTTTATTTATTCACACACCACCTGTAGTGCTAGAAGCTCCAGCCTGCCTGTTCTCAACTCAACTCTGACCTGCAGGAACCACACTGCAGATAAGAGAAATAATTCTTCTGAACTCTGAATGCGCATGTCCTTTAAACAAAGTCAAGAGACTGAACCACTACATTCTTATTTTTCAGGGCATAACTTCTGTGGGGGAAATTACATTATAGTGTTTCACTGTGATGGAAATTACATTATAGTGTTTCACACAGAGGAAATCTGTATCCTGAAAATTTAAGTACATATACTAGGTGAACTAATTTAGAATTTTAGTAATTATGTCACCTCTGCAAATGTATTTGTTTTAAGATAGTGGTTACAAGGTTATTCTGATGTAATACTCTAATTGCCAAGTAATTTATAAAATCAGAAGAACACTCATGTATCCAAAAAAATTGTTTTTAAAAGATGAGGAAAAGGAGACCCAATGTAGGAGAAACGGCTTGGCGGAGTTCTTAGCTTAGAGAGAGCAAGGTCTTAGCTTAGAGAAAGCCCTATGACCAGATGCGAAGTCTCAAAACTTTAGCTTATCTCATTCCACCTTATTATTTTAAAACACATTTATTAAGGCTCTGATATATACCAGGCACTGAACTGGGTACTGGATAATGAACAAGATAATGGACAAGACAGATAAGAGGCCTGTTTTGGTGAAGCTTAATTCTGGTGATCTCCATTCATTAAAGTATTGAATACAGAACATTTCCATCCATATAAATGTAAAGAATGTAAATGTAACCTAGATACTAAGATTTGGGTATGCATTTCTACTAAGGCCAAGTCTGGTTCCCAATGAATATACTGTCTCTAATCTTGGAAATATATCTGGCCTGCAAAATACTTAGCTAAACATCTGAGTATTTTGACATGTAGGTAGATATGTTGTACATCGATAAATCTTTAAAAAATCGAAAAGAACACATTTTTTTTCCATTGAGTGCTTTAAAAAGAATCTTTTATTTGCTTACTTATCGAAATGTGTCAACTTCCAGACTCAGTGTGAAGCTTAAAAACAGGGTGTAGAGATGAAAAGTTCCACATGTGCAACTGAGTAACTAGATTTCACATGGAAGAGTGAAATAATGACCTTGAGATCCATTCTGCACATCATTTCTTAACTATTGTTTTGTATTTAGCACTGAGGTAAGTGTTCTGCTTATAGTAGATAATTGCAAAATAGAATTATATAGTTATGTGTACAATAAAATACTGAATTTCTAGACTTCTAAAGCACCATTCTCATGCCTTTCCTTTCATGCCTCCAACCAAGAAAAGTAACTATTTCCCATTATTTGCATTACCTTATTAACTTTAGAAATATTATTTTAGAATGATTTTCACATGAGGCAATCAGACTATTTTCTGCATTACAAAAATAGCCATTAAAACATGGAAAGCAAAGAGCCCAAAATAATGTACTAAACATGAGCTCAAGTTCTGCCTAAAATTGCAGTTCTGTCTAATATTTAATCAACAGAGAGATATGCAGAATATTTACTATACAAAGTGATTATTGGTTAGGTTCTCTTGAGAAAGACAATCCAAAGGCTATGGTCTCAAGTCACTTTGGGATGCTTCTGTTTTAGCAAGTAAGCCTTCAAATTCTCCATAAACTCTCTTAAAATAACATTTAATATACTGAAATAGCAAATTATTTTACCAAAAAATGAATCATTCTATAGAATGAAACTACAGGAGGAAGTTTGAGGAAAACTATTCCCAATATTTTAAAGCCCAGAGCCTGGCCCATGGTCACAGACTTGATTAGCCATAGAACTGAAGCTGGTTAATGCTCCTTACTTACTAGTTTTGTGTCTTTCACAACTTCATAGCCAAACAAAGATGAGTTATTTTATTCTCATCCACTTAGGACAGAAGGAGTGCTTTATGGCAGATATAATAAAAGTAAAATTCTAACATATATAATATCACAATATATATTATGACATGTATAATGTCTGCACATTCACTGAAAATGTCTGAATTTGAAATCTGTGTCTTCTGTTTCCAGTGACTAACTCTATCATATTAGAGTATTATCTTTCCAGAATTATGACATTAAGAAATCATAATCAATTGTACCACAAAAGTTTATAACCACTTTCTTGGCCCACTTCATCCTGCCTACCTTGGAGTAAAATATTTCCAGTAGATGAGAACTCTACAGATTTTTCTGAAATGCCTTCACTTTAAAAATTGAATTTAGTGCATTCCTCTTCCCCCAGAAAACCAAATCTCAGATCTTATTGCCCTGTGCTACGCTTTTATTCCTATTCACTGTTCTTATATAAATTTTGGTTGGGAGCTTTGAATATTTCAAAATATCAAATATCAGTGTTCTCTTCTTGTTACTTTTTTATTTAAAATTATCACTCTGATTTATATCCTTGAAACACATGGTGCATACATGAATGTTATCTGTCATCTGCTTAGAAAAAAAATGTCAAAGATATTTTTCTTTAATTATCTTACTTATTACTGAGAATAGAGGGGTCAAATAAAACACTAGTGATATAAAAATATTTTACTCCCATTTCATTCACACAAGGCATTAACTAGGGGTCAAATGTTTATGACAGAAATAAGCCATGTTGATACTGGTTATATTTGCCATAAATCTATCAGTTACTGTATGCTTCAAATAATATGATTGATTTCTTTTATTAATGGCTTTGCTATTAGGGAATTAAAGGAAGGAAAGGGGACAACTAAATGGGAAAGGAAACGGGAAATTCTAATAATGATGACAGTAGTCATCATTTACCACTTGCCCACTATGGGTTATCGAAGACTTTAAGCCAGACAATGGCATGACTTGATTGAACACCTTTATGACATTTATTCTGGCTGCGAAGTGGAGAATAGATGAGGAAGTGCAGGGCAGAGTGGCACTAGATAAGTGGACAGAAAAGTTGGAAGGCTACTGTTGTAGTCCAGGCATAACATACTGATATTTTCAATTAGAATACAGTAGTGAAGATGGACAGAAGCAAATGTAGTTGAGATATTTGGACAATAAACTTAGAGAAAGAAAAGCAAGGATGACTTGGGTTTTTGGCTTGAATAAGGAAATAGATTGTAGTGCCTTTTATGTCTAGGGAGAAACATATCCGTCCATGGTGAATAGAGAAGAATGGGAGGGCAGGCTACTATTTTGGCAAGGTTGCCTCTGTAAATTTAAAAATACTTGTTCTGTAGATCATTTAAAAATACTTGTTCTATAGGTCAATTATGTAAAATGCCATCATTTCTGCTCTATCAACCAACCACAAAATGTCTTTGATAATAAACATAATAGCCAGCCCTCCAAATTCTGCTGCATCATATTCGGGTGCTTCATGAATAATTCTCATGTCTTCTACATTCTTGGTCTCTTACTCTACCAGATCCTTTTGCAGAAATCATTAATAATACTCATGTGTCGCTTTGACAATCAATACTGTGAACCCCTTTATTAATGTCCCTTTCACAGCTAAGTTCCTTAAAAGAGAACATGAAGTTTTTCATTTGAGCTCCCCCATTTATTTTTAATTCTACTATGCTACTGAGTGGGTGCTCTCACTCCCACTACATTACTGAAAGTGACCTTGCTAAGATCCCCAGTTAATTCCTAATAGCAACATCTCACAGATCTTTTTGGCAAGCTCTTTCACTGGCTCCTCCTCCTCTTAATTTTTTTTTTCATATTGCTGTTTTAAATTTTATTCTTTCTCCCTTCAACACTTTGCCTTGAGTAACATCAACACTCCGTTTAGTAGCTGCTGATGACCAACAAATCAGTATCTCTAACCTGTATTCTAACCGGTAGGTTCACATATGCAATTGGCTACTTGGTGTCTCCACCTGGCAGCCCTGTATGCACTTCAAATAAAACATAGCTTAACACTCAGCTCCTTACCTTTATTCCCAAACCTCCCCTCCTATTCCTATTGGTGGGTAGCATCACCATGCAACCATTAACTCAAGGCAGATGCTTTGGAATCTACTCACACTGTTGCATTTTTCACGTCCTCCAAATTCCATCACTGACCCAACATTATCAATATTACTTCCTTAAAATGTCCTGCCTCAGCTCCCCATGTCTCTATCCCCACCAACCACTTCATGCCTTATTTCACATCTGCACAGCTGCCAAAGGTCTCTATCTATAAACCCTTAAGTAGGTCTTCATTGCCTAAAGGAAAAAGTTCAAGGACTTGAGCAGGGCTTCTGATGATTTCCTAGATCTGGTCCCTGCCTCTCTTCCTTATTGTCATTCTTCTCTCTCATCAAACCTTTCTACATGCTTTAATAGTACATGAATAATTCTGTTGTGTCCATCCTGATTCTACTGGAGCTCCCACACTTAAATGAATGCTTCTTGATGATCCTGGTATAAGTTCTTCTTGGTCATTTTACCCTTGTTTATACAACATTCTCACTTAGCAACTCTAATATTTTATGGAACTCATTGATTTCTTACCTCTAACCTCCACTAAATTGCTCTTGTCTTAATAAACCAATGGGCATGATTGATGTTTAATAAGTGATTGATGTTATTCAAGAAGGAACAAAATGAAGAATAAATGAATTACTGAATAAATGGTTTATCACAAAACCTTACTAGAATACCTAAGACTTATAAATAATTGCAAAATGCCCATGACTTTCTAATTCAATATTAAAGTAGAGCCCACAAAAAAATTATAAACCTATATTACATAAATAGTCTACCATGAAAAGAACAAAGAGTTAGCATTAGACAAATCTATTAAGTCAACTATTGACAGACATAAGCCATTTCA